ACTCCATAGCTGGCAGAACTACAATCTGACTCAGACTCAACTGTCACTGTTTGTTTCCACAGTAAATTAAGTGAAGATCACAGAACCAGAGCAGCTACTGAAAGAAATCTGGAGAAACCCTATGGCCAATAGGCCAATAAATGAGAAAAATACTTGCTGAAAGTTCAGAGACATTGAGCTACACGTTAATTTGAAATAGAGACCTCATGTCCCTTCATATATATTCTTGATACTTCATATCAACCCTGAGATGAAGATACTGCTCCCCTTTAGTGGGACCAGAAAACCAGTGATTTGAACGATATCTGTGATATAATGATATGGTCACATGCATTGAAATCTCCAAGCAATTTGCCATGACCTATGAAACATTTACTCTGGGTCACTTCTAGTCTGAGCTGTAGTTGAGTGAATGTTCATAGGCAGTGCAAAATTCCCATGCAAACTTACAAAATGGTTTTTCACTGACTGCTACACGAGCATGGTGATGCCCTTCATCACTGCTGCATGGGCCCATCCCCAGCATCAGCCACAGCTGTCACCTCATGACACTTGCAGTCTTGGCCTCCCATTTCTCAGTGCATTTTATAACATCTCCAAAGCACTCTGAGATGGGCAGACTAATCTGATGGTAACACAGAAACACAGTGTAGGACCCCAATGCAACGCAGAATTCAGTAGCCACATTAACCTGCCACTGCATCCTCTTCCTAACCCCACATAAATTTGAGCAATCTTAGGAAGGGTATAGAAAATCTGCACTAACACGTAAGTGGTTACTTATTTCATTTTTCTTAATTTAGTGGTTTCTGTCCCATTTGCAGTAAACAAACCTGAATGGTGGTTATTTCTGAAGCTGTTCATACTCTGTGTGACTTGGCCTCTAGCCTGGAGCTTTGCTTTGCAACCAGCCTAAGGAATTACATAAGCAAACCGCATGTTTGGTGATGTTATTCAGTATCTGTAGAGGGTTACAATTGTTTAGAGGAGCCAAATTCAAAATTGATGAGTAAGCACTGCTTAGGAGGCAAAACCTTGCTCTGGGTTACACCCATCCTTTGCCAGCATAGTCAAGTTGCTTGCAAATTACATTTATAATGGTGTCCCTTCAGAGCAGAAGTCAGCACAGGGAGGCTAAGCTGGAATAATTTAAAACTCTTTTCAAGCCCTCAAAGCCAAATTCTTCCTTGCCTTAGACCTCTGCTGATGTCAATAGATTTGTTGAGACTGTAAATCAGGCCAGAAGTTGGCCCTTATTTGGTTCAATTACCCCATAATAAACTCCCTGAGGACTACTGTGCTGATGTGTAATTTGCATCCTTTCTCCTCTGAAGTAGTATATTTCTGTTTATAGATTGAGTTAGCAGTTCTAAGGGAGGGGAAAGGCTGCCTGAATCATTTGCAAATCAGAAAATCCATATATTTGAAAGTTGGTGTGAAATATTTGCTTTTGGTTGCAACATTGTATACTAAACTGCTGTCTAGAGTAAATATTTACAGCCAAGTTGCAACAAGTTGTAAGAATATGTGATTTTCTACGTGGAAACACTGACACATAAGGGTGAGACTTTCCCCCAGCAAAACACCGACTTAATTGTAGGTTTTGCAAATATTATCAAGCATAATCTTGAAATTAATTTTTAAGTGTTCGCTAATGATTTTTAACCATGTATCAAGCAGCTGGTTTTGTGTCTGATTTCCAAGTTCTTAAACAGACAACTGTTTTCCGTTTAGTGACTTTGTCAGGCTTAACTTGGGATTAATTTGACTGCAGGTGTCAGATAAGCACAGTATTTTAGCAGCACTACCGAGAACCATGTGGACAAAATGCAGAAGCATGAAGGCACGGTGGTCAAAACTTTGAAAGATTGATGGAAGTGAGTTATGCTGTTTAAATATCTTTGTCTGCCCAGTAAAGCTAAACTTGCAAGTGGGGTGCAAGGTATGCTGCTAGTGTTTTGCCGTGTTCCCTGTTAACATAGGTAACTGGTCAGGCTTTTTTTAATCACAATTTGTCTGTCGACATAAAATCTAGCAAGCAACCTTCATAAATCATGCAGTGACAGCTAGTGTGGTTGGCCAGTGCTAAACACAACTGGACTCTTCTTTTCAAGCCTTTGCTTCTTAGGTCGCCTGCGTCAGCAGTACTCTTCAACAAACATCTGCAGTTCATCTTATCGTTTGAAGAAATATATGAGTTTCTCCATCAGGGTGGTTTTTTTAGCTTCAGCTTTTTGATTTGTTTGAACACCATCTGCTACATATAAAATGCAGAGAATTTGTGAAATGTGCATGCAGTGAGAAAATTTTAATTGTATTAACCTTTCTTTTTTTGATCAGGATAACTTCTTGTATTCATCATCTCCTGATATGTTAAGTAAGCAAATAGACATGTCTAAAGTACTGCCCAGATATTTTCATTAAGATCTTCTATCTCTATAATATACGAATACCTTGGGTACAAAACCAGAGTCTATTGCTTCCAGCACTTAAGAGTTATTTTAATACAGCTTTAGTTACACATCCAAAAAGAGTTTAGCAGTAGTAATCTCTTTTACAGAGGGTTTTTTCTTATCTTAATACTCCGCATCTACGTGTGTATTATTTGCGTTGAAGAAAAAACGTTAATTGTTCCTAGAATTAATCACCAGAAGACAAACAACTCTATAGATGGCCGCAGCTCGCTGCCAGAAGCCCAGGCTGAGCTGACGTGTGTCATGGCATGCGATTGCCACAGGGTGGTAGGAGTAGTGCGGCTCCACAGCCACACCAGCCTGGAGAGGGGAGGGAAAAGTTTGGAAAGGACGAAGGAGAAATCGCTTTCCAGTTAGTCTAAACAGAGGTATCAAAAATAAGGTTTAACTCATGGTAAATCCAGATGGTTAAGCATTTGACCCATATCTAATCCCTCTGCCAAGCGTGCACCACCACCATCACTGCTGTCATAACACAGCACAGGCACTTAAAATCACTTCAGTTCCAAGAAGCAGCACACGTTTTGGAGAAAATTAAATTTTAAAGCATGTTGCAGAGATAGAAAAAAACAGTCCTGACAACATGTCATGGCTCCAGCCTTGAGAGGAACGGTATTATATACACTAAAATAATTCCTTGGGACTGCGGCTGGCTGCTGTTCTGTGCATTTTGTTATGATAATATCTTACAAAACACTGAGCAGTGCTTTGATCTCAAAAATAGTATTTCGCTGAGATCTATTTATTTTACTTAATCATTTAATAAAAGGAGAGGAGAAACAGATCAGAAATAGAAATTCTGCCTCTCATGTAAGTCCTATGCATTGTACTGATGAGTCCTATGGGTTATTGATTATTGCTGGCGTGATATAAAGGGGAAGGATCTAGTGACACATATGCAAACTAAATCCTTGTGTTTTGGCAATTATGCTAGTGCCACTAATGTTCATATTTACCTTCAAGGGAGGCTTACTTGAAATACAGAGTTATGCTCATTTATATTAGAGAGACTATGAGAGACACCTCGATTAAAATAAATAAATAAATACATAATACATACATACATACATACATAAAATATTAAAGTAGGGAAAATAACGTGTTTTATATAAATATAACATCCAAATACCTTCATGTTTTATTTTGGGATTGGTATAATTATGTCCAACTAACAGACAAGGATGTGAGAGGAACATCAAGCTCAAGACCTTCAGGGTATGAAATAAACTACGTATTTAAAAATGGGCAAGGTTTATGTAATATAGTATTATGTTTTAAACAGTTCATAAAAGAAACTAAGTGACAACAGAACAGTGTGGATGATATAAAATAATATAAACCTTCCTTCAAATATCAAGCAATTTTTATCTCTGCCTCAACTCACTTTCCACAACAGAGTGAGTGAAAAATCCATAGAGAATAAAACCAGTGATCCCTTTGAGCAAGGATACAAATTTACCTAGATATGTCAACCACACAGATTTATGGGACAAGGAGTTTTTCACCCTGAAGAAAAAAGCCTTCTTGTCAGTCATCTATAAAAAAGCTGAAAATAAAGCTCTTGGAGTTATTTTTACATTTTAGGAATTGCAAGAAATTTCTGTTGGGGGTTGTTGGGGGTTTTTTGTGGCTTTTTTTCTTTAAGCTTTCCCATAACCATGGAATAGCTCTCTTCATGGATGTATAAGAAACACTTGTGTTGTGCTGCTATTAATGGTATGATTTGTTAGTGTACTTTTATGTATGGAGTGTCTGCATCTGGTAAGGTCTACAACTGTACCTCCTTGACAGTGCCAGATGTTGTGAAGATAAAATACCTCCTGTGTGAGGAACTGCTGGAATCAGGCTCCGTGATAGGTGTTCTTAATGCAGTTTAAAAAGGCATCTGTCTTAAAATAATTTCAACATCTTACTTTTCTATTTATTGTTTTGTCAGATCTTTCTTGTTACTGGGGAAATATTTTAGTGCCCCTTCTAACTTGATTTTAAAATTACGGCTTCGGCTCCTTCCAATTTGGTTTTCTGTGGGGTTTTTTTAATCCTTAATTACTTTCCCAACAAAAGGGAGAAAAGGAAAAAAAAGTTTACCGTGAGGACTCAGTTGAGGTTAAACATACTGGCCCAACCAAGCCAAAAAAAAATTGTTCAGTAGGTATTTTTAAGCCAGGTTAGCCACAAAAGAGCGTGAAAAATATTGAGTCTGAATTTAGCCAAGATTTGTTCAAAACATTGCGGTGGAGAGACAAGAGGGCTGATAGAAGGCAGGAGTAGAGCCCTGCTTTGCTATCATACCCCATAACTCACTGCATTGTCAACCTCTTAAAATAGTAATGATACTTGACCCTTATTAGTATTTCTGGGCAATATATGAGCTTGAGTTTCCTTGGGTGAAAGCTAATGCCTTAGACCACCCTTTAGACCACCATTCTATCTAGTTACAGTACATATTAATGTTATTCTTGGGTCATTTAACTTACTCTCAGTGAAGAGTGGAGAATGGTGCTAAGCTGTAAATCAGCTCTGTCCTGCAATGGATTTGTGCCATAAGAGATCATCTTGAAAATTCCAGCCTTCCCTGACCATGGTAAAGAGGTTATGGTATGTAAAAATTCTGCTAAACATAGCTTGTTTCATTTTCGTGCTTCTCTGCTTGTCTGCCTGGTGAGGAGATGTTAAGACTCGTTATGGTGGACAGTGCATTGAAAAGGAATATTGCTATAATAAACCCCCCAGGGCTAAAACTTTTACCATGTGAGGCTAAACTCTCCATCCTTTCTAAAGGTAAGCTGCGGCAGTGAGGAAATTATTAAAGAAGGCCACTGATACTGTGCATAAAAATTATTTTTTTAATCCTCAGGGAAAAAGAAATGAGTTCATAAATGTATTGTGCTTAAAAGGTATCCTCTGAGTGCCAGTGTTCACACCCCAAATGACAGACTGCAATGTTCAGTGGCATTAGTCCATTTAACTAAGTCCTGATTACTTGAGATGAATTCATTTAAAAAGCAAATGTACTGCTACTCCCTTAGCAAATGTTTCACTAACTGTTTCTTGAAATCATAAATATTTTTTCCACACTGTTCTGGCAAACAAATAATGTTTACCTTTAGCTTCCTAGAAAAGATTTACAGATAAGTCCCTAGTCTGTTTTGCAGATGTGCCTTGGTGAATTTAACAGTAATATATACTGTCATCACGGTTGTCTTCAAATCTTTGAAATCACTTATGCCTTTTACAATACATATTTAATTGAATGTCTAGCTAGCAGATATGTATATGTATCTCACATTTGTGGGTGGGCATGTGTGTGCCTAATACATATATTTAGCACTTAAACATGGTACGATGAGTGATTGAGAAATGCCTAAGAGAGAGATATTTTATACATGCACATACAGTTAGTAAATGCGTAATCTCCTGAAACAGCCAGAGACAGGGAAGAAAGTGGAGAGACATCTGCAAATTAACAAATCATCTATCTTTGGGGTCATTCACAAGTTAGTTTTGCAGAATAAGATAGAACAAAAACATAATTCTGACGAGCATTTGTTCTGGTTATTTATCATATAAAATTGTGTAACAATATTAGACACAGGACTTTTTGCTCAGCTTATTCCTTATAGTATTACCATGATTTCACATCTTGGTGCAGATGTTTTGTGCTGAATAATGTCCTTTAGTTGACATTTGTGCTCTTACTGTCGAACTTTTAAGTAGCTGTGATGCATATATTCCGTAGGAACACTATGCAGGGGACAAGGGGAAGGTAAATAAATAACAAAACCTGTTTTAGGAAAGGAAATTTTAAAAATCTGTTCCTCTCCTGCCTAAGTGGAGGATTCTCCACATTGAATTTTCTATTTTTTAATAGCTACTTGTAATTTAAATTATTACTCAGTAATACAGGCTTTTGAGGAAACCTGAATATTCCTGGGATTTAGTTAGTCTTTGAAAGTGGAAGCGCTTTCCTGCTGCAGTGAGGATGGTGTGTCCCCCGGCTGAGATATACACTAAAATCTATTTCACATTGTGCTCTTATTGTTAATTTTATTGCTTGAATTGAGCAAACGGTTGTATTTATACCTCAAAAGGCTATTGTTGTTAAATTAATTTAACTGTTTTGAAGCTCTTTTTTCTGTGTTAATTATTTAAAAACAAAATCAAAAGTCTTAGAGGAGCAATTTACTTTTCAATTAAGGCTAAAGACAATTTTATGTTAAGCAAAAACACAAATTAATCTGCCACCACAAAACGAACCTTGTTTTAAAAAAAAATCATACAATCAGTATATTGATTCCCTCAATGTATATTTTTCATTTATTGGTATTATAAGATTATGCTTGAGCCTGCAGCAAAAGAAAAAAAAGGAGAGAGATAGAAAAAAAATGAAACTGTGCACAGGTATGGAACCTTAGCTTATTTTTTTCTGGCAAAATATTTTTAAAAGTATGCCTAAATTTGGAATTAGTCACATTAATTCTAGACTTTCAATTAATTTCTTTTTATACTTCTAGCAGTATTACTTTATTTGTATATCTTTAGACAATTGCCAAAGAATTTTCAGGAATTTATACTAAATTCTTCATAGAACATTTAAAAAGATATATACTGAAAGCACAGTATATAAGCATTTTAATCAAATTAATAAATTTTTCGTTTGTAAAGCATTCTAGATGTTCATGAATATGTTCCAGCGTGAAACTTCAGTACAATTTGAACAAGTTTGTTAGGGATCAAATTCCCCACTGGCCTAACTCTACTGAAATCAGTGGAATCATTTCAGAGGAGAATTTCATTTCTCATTACTGTGTGCATTTTTCAAATCTGCAATAACATCACACATGCACTTCAGTTCCTTACATTTAGAGAATGGATTTACAAATATAGCAAAATTATATTTTACTCTGTTGGGGGGAAAAAAAGGGGGGGGAGAGGGGAGAAAATAAAAATCTTATTTCTACTATTTTGTGAGGTTTTGGGGCTAGTTCACATTAGACAAAATCCCCAGGAGGCTCAGTGCATATTCACTCTTAGGCCAGCATATCCAATGCACTCTTTAGTCTTAGATTAAGGAATTAAAGCACTGCAAATGAATTTCACATCCAAAATCATTCAATTTGTCCCCTTTGTCTTCTAGAATCCTAAGCATATGGGACCACACTAAGTATAGCAAAAATAGCTGCTGCTATAATCATAATTAGTACCTATTAGCCCTTCCTAGGTGCAAAACCCCAGTGATGAGAGCACAGCATGAGAACCTAGATAGAAGAGGATTTGAAATCTCTGTAGTACAGGATTGTTATTGCTGCCCTTGCAGGTTCACCAAATGCAGTGAGTGAGAGGGAATTGCTGGGCTTGGGAACCAGATCCTACGTGCCTTTCCCATACACACAAAGATGTACAGACTGAGATCTTTTTTACCTCCTTGCTGAGGCATTTCTTCTGGTCCAAATATGCGTTCTATAAAAACCTGCTTATATATTTCTAAACATTTTTCAAGCGTAGCATTATTGATTTTTAGTAGCTTGGGTATTAAAATTTGTTTATCACGATGGTGAAGACATTTTTTTTTTCTTAGTCATATAGTGGATAGCAGCTGTTTTACACAGGCTGGAGCAGCTATTCAGACCAACTTAATATCTGAACTTTTTGCTGAATTATTTTGGTGGGCTTGTCTTTGATAATATATACAGGTTACATGCAGATTTCAGACTCCTTTCCACAAAATGCTGAAATTATAGGCAATAACAGATCTGAAAGACATTGTCAATGACAATTGAAAACAAAAAAAAAAACCCTGACATGTAAATCTGGAATGAAGCTTTTCTGACTAATGATATTTTGAAAAATGTCTGCTTTTAGATCTAGAGTGGAAAACTCTGTATGTTTACATTAGGGAGCCACAAGTCTCATTCTCAAAAGCAAAGATTCTAAACTGTGCATGAAAAATCAGCATGGACTGATATGTCTGCCCGCAAAAAATATGCCTCTTTATGTATATAGGCAGCACTGCATCGAGCGCAGTTCTCTTCGGCAGCACGTGGGGCTGCCTGAGCTGCAGCGAGACGAGCTTGAGATGGGACTGTTCGCTCGATCAGGAGTCAGACCCAGCCTAGCAGCGGCACGGCACCAGACTGTGCACAGTGCAGGGCCATCCCATCCCCAGAACAAAGGTCACAGGAGCCCCGTACGCGGGGCACCCGAGCCCTGTCCCCCCGCACGAGTTCCAGGGCACAACGCGGGGCAGTGCTGACACTGAGCGGGGACCTCCCAGCTCCCTCCTCCATCCGCCGGGGCGGCATCAAATAAAAATCCCATCTCCCTGCCCGAGCTCAAACATCTGACCATTGCAAGTAGTTCTCAAAAATCTGAGGCTGTCATTTTGTTCGGGGCTTCACGTTATCCCTCTTGACTTCAAGCATAAAATCAGGTGAGAGCCAGAGACAGCTCATAAAAGTGAAGTCATATGCGATAAGAAGAGTATAGATATCATAACCTGAGTGTGAAGGAGAAGGGAATGAGGTTATGATCATTGTCTGAGGAGATCTGTTCAAACAATGTAATAGAAAGCTGCCCCCTTTAAATAAACATTAAACTTTTGCTAGAGGGCTACAATTTACAGTTCCAGCATGATCTTTTGAGGTGCTGTGAATACATTTAATATAAAGATGTCTATACAGCTTCCCAAATACAAGGCATATCTTGCACCACAAGCTCTGCAACTTCTTTTTTTAATCAATAGCTCATATGTATTCATCGAAAGATATGTTGGTATTCTATCCACTAAACTTTTCGGACAATCATCACAGCCATATTAAAATCAACATTTACTTTTGAGTCTTTTTTTGAAAATGACAAAATAATGGGAATTTTAAAGGAATTTTTAATTTATTACAAGAGAAGAGTTGGATATATGCTATATATGCTGCTATCAATTTTTCCACATAATTAACCCAGTGGAATCTGTTAAGAAAGCAAAGCAAAACTGTGATTTAACAGTCAGGTCCATCACATGAATATGCAAAGGAGACAAGGGAAACTTTACCTCCGAGTCCTCCCTCTGCAAAGAGCTGCCCAGCCCCGACCCTCACCCACAGCCTGTTTCTCCCGTAGGCAGACCCTGCCATTGCCGATCATTTTGCTCCAGTTATCCGAGGATGCAGCTCAGCTGGTCACCTAGATTTTCAAAGAAAAATATTTTTTAAAAGGTGAAAGCTTTTCTGAGTGTGGAAACATTTTGATTGCTATTAGAGAAACCACTACTCAAAGCCTAGATACAACTAAAAGATTGAGTGCATTTTTATATACACTGACTGGTCTACATGCCTGAAAACATGTCATCTCCATTATGATTTATTTTGTAGTTAAAATAAAGCACAACGTTTTCTCCAGAGTGATCTTTATTTCATTTACTGCCTGAAAAAGATTAATTTCATTTAAATTTTTTAATAATATATTGTACAAGCCAAAAAAAAAAAAAAAGTAGATACTGAAAGGGCAAAATAACTGACATGTTGTATACAGACCTGTGTACCAAGTTCTAAAAGCTTGGACAGACTCAGACAATCGTGCTATATTAAAGTCAGTAATTCACAATT